TATATATATATATATATATATATATATATATATATATATATATATATTGTCAGTTGACTGAATTTTGCAACAGTATTTTCACATAAAACCCACTCAAAGGAGTATTTTAACACAAATGATCTGCACTAGATTGTGTATTTTGGTTGATATAATTAAAATTGTCCATTAAAGTTGACAAAAAAAAAATATTGTGTGCACTCATAACAACTGCAACAACGTGAATATACTGATCAGGTTTACACTATTCAGATTGTTTTTAACTAAATGTTAGTTTTTCTTCTGACATTTTGACTTTTTTGTTGTGTTAAAATGCTTTAGAGGCATTTGAGCTCCACACTGAAACTGATGAAATCCTTTTAGAGAGGTGGTCAGCACAATATCTGTGTCAGGCAGCATGACCTACACACACTACACGCTGCAGCTGAAAGGGCAAATACTTATTTGTGCATGTGTGCATTTTTGTGTGACGGATGCGTCATCACAAATATGCATATTTCGCTCATAAAGTGCCAAGAAAAGTGTTTTTTTTATCCCAAGTGTTGACCTCAAGTTATCAAGGTTCACTGGAGGCTATAAGAAAAGTCTGCGGAGTGAAAATGGTTTTCATTTAGATTAGCCAAAACCAAATGCCGGTTTTCTGATTATATGGAAGCTGACACGCCGGCTTTAGCTGACAACAAGCTTCTTTAGTGGATGCTGTGCAAAGTGTTTGAGCATGACTGGCTGTGAATGCTTAAGTGTCTGTCGTTGAGGCTGTATGTGCAAGGTAAGTGTTTTGAAAATCTGTGATGAGAGGAGATGTTGCTCTGTCCACCACTGAAGTGTTGGGGCTGTTGCCAGCTGAACAGAGGGTTGACTGACACTGGCATTTAGCAGCTGACAGGGGTGACAATGCCAGGCAAAGACAGAGAATGTAGCTCTGTTTGCTCCCGTACATCCATCATTTGCTCCTTTACTCCGTTTCTCTTGGCCTCCTCTTTCTTCTTTCCCAGGTTAGCTTCACATCTTGTGTCATTTTTTTTTTTTTTTTTGCACCACATCTAAATCTGACAGATATTAGCATACATTAAATTAGCACATGCGCAGGATATTGTTGTCCCTTTTAAACTCTTGGTTAAGTTTTCCAGTTTATTATTTCGTCTACAGTTTGACTTTTATTGACCTCTAGGAACACGAGTCTGAAAATGCAATCCTTACTATTCTATTACGTTCTTTTCCCTTTGGCCTACCCTGACATTTTCAGTTCTCTGTGGAGAATTGGAGAGGAATGGGGGCTTATTACAAAAAAAGTGTAGTACAATAGAGTGGAAAAGTGGAAAAAAATAAAAAAATCACCATAGTAAAGCATAAGATAATGTTTCCACGTTGGTGCTTGCCTTCCTGTTCTTTATGAACAAGCCTATTTAGGTGTTATTTATTTAATTATCTGTATGTTTATTTATCCATTTCATTTATTACACATCAGTTGGATTTAATGCTATTATGGGATGGCAGTCATTTTACCAGAGCTGCATGGATTTCTGTTGGGGCGGGGGGGGGGGGGGGTGAACAAAGTCAGGCAACATCTAAAAGCAAATACATGTAGGTGAATTCCTTATTTAGTTTCTTCTTTTCTGTATTGATTAGCAGCACTGTTTTGTTTGTTGTAGACACTTTCCAGCAATTTATGAGACAGTTAATATTTTGTTAATACCGCTTTAACTATCATCACGTTGCATCTTAAACTGAAAAGTTGCTTAGGAGAGAATCTGAAATGTGGGTCAATTATTTCAATACTCATGAAGATTTGACTTAAAAAAAAAAAAAAAGTTAACTACAGACAATAACAACGAGAATGCAATCATCAGTGCTAATCACCCATTAGGTCAATGGTAGGTTTAATTAAAAATAGACACGTTTAACTTGTTTTTATAGTCTTCTTCTGTATGTCTATATCCCATCTCTCTCTCTATTCCCTCTCGCCTCCTTCTTCGTCTTTCTCTCCATCGCTCTTTCCCTTGTCGAATGATTTTAAACCAATTGCTCTCCCCTGCTCATAAATATTCTCCAGAGCTCAATTGGCCTTTACTGTTAGGGGGCAGGGGAGAGGGGGTCGAGGGTTAGGGGGAGATCTGCAGGAGTTACCGTACAAAAGGGGACACTAGAGAATAAATCACAGCTTTATCGCCCCCTACTGGTTAGTCACTGCACCAGATCGATGTGATGTTTTCCAATTATAACATACGTGTAAGAAAAAAAAAAAAAATGCTATTTTCATGATGAATTAGAAAAGGTCTCTTTACTTTACATAGTGATTTTTTTTCCTGTCTTTGTGGCAAAAATAAGATTTAAAAGCTTATTTCGATTTAGTGCTGTTGCGTTTCTGTCTGACACTAGAAAACGTGACATTTATTGAAAATTTTCCAAGTGAAGCTTTTTTTTCTTCTGCTCAAGGTTTGATTAAGTGCAATAATGGCAGCGATAGATGAGTTCAGTGAATTCAAAGGCAATGAAATACAGGCACAGAGGCACTTAACAATATTACTTCTACTGTGATTGCAGAGAAACGCACCTGGATGTCAGGCGTAATGGTAGTTTTAAAACATCTATTCATCCAGTCTTTCTTTTTTTCCTTAGTGAGTGTTACGAACCTCACAACAGCTTTGTGGCTTTCATTGTACGTTAACAGCAGCCAAATGGTTCCACGTGTCCTTGTCAAGCAGATTTGCTTTATTATATTTGAAACAGACTCAGCTGAAGTAATTAATGGGAATTATTGACTGCTCATCTTCTTCACATTCATAGAAAAGGGGTTGAAGTGGACGCGTTTCCATGGACTCGGTGCCAACAGTTGCCAAATTCTGGGTGTAAAGTGAACAAAAGCATGTTTTATTTAATAATTTAGAGATTGCTGTGTTGTGAAATCATCTCTGCCCAAGTTAGAAGTTCTTGCTCATAATTTATTTTGTCACCGAGCCATATCGAGAGAAAGAAGCATATTAGTCAAAATGTCACCACCTCCCCTCTTCTTCTTCATGGGCCATAACTTTTACATCACGCCTCATCTCCCGTGTTTTCTCCTCTCTTTTCTCCTGTCACCTCTCTGGCTATTTCATTGACTCTGTTTGATGTAAGGAGACGTTGCTCATAATTATCGACTGATTAGTGTTTCAATTATACGCAGGCATGTTTGTGGAGAGGTTGAGCTGCACAAGCATGGTTTCACAATACCTGTCATTTAGTGCAGCCTATTGTGCTTTATCTGCTCCATGTTTATTACTTTGCCATTCTGTTGTGAATGCTTTAGATGAGAAAGCACATTTAAAAGAGATTATGAAATGGGACAGAACAAATGGGCATACAACTGCAATGAAAAAGCAATGAGGAGAAGAGGGAAGAATAGAATGAAGGGAAGCGATTAGAACCTAATATTATAATGCACTGCAAACGCAACTTAATACATCGCAGTGAATGTAAATGGAAAATAAATTATTATGCAGTGTTTAAGAAAGAAAAAGAAAAGTTTAAAAGGCTCGAATAGCATATCTTTTACATTAAATTTAAAATGGAAACATGAAAAAAAAAAAAACCTTTTGCATGTTTGTATAAGTTATCATTTTTGATAAATGTTGAATGTCTGTATAACTTTCCAATTGTTTTACATGCATACAAGCAAATGTATCATAGGACACTAATGTTTCTCAATCCAATCTTTGTTAACTCTCAGAGAGATTAGTGCCAATAAGAGCAAGCAGTACGCTAATGTCCCCCGTCACTGAGGGATTTGAAAAGTGAATGTTTTATAGTGTTTAGGTTGAGTGTCTTTTTCAGGACTGAAATTGAACGAGGAAGACAAAATAAACCTTAATGTTTTTAGTGCAAGATATTCATGTGGGTAGGATTTACACCGTGGAGAAGATTTTTATTTTTTTTTCCTTGTATGAGGCAGCGCAGAATAATGGATGCTGACAACAGGAGGGGGCAATTTGTTTCACCACCAGGCGCAATGGTGGAGCCAGGGGGTGGCCAATGGTGACCTTGGCGAAATTAGATTTATCTTAAGCCACCCCAAGGGCCACCCCGATCATTTGAGGAAACTATACTTTTATGCATTTTAAAATCTAAACAGTTTCTTCAAACAATGGGGGGGCTGGTTTACATATTTATACGATTGTGGCAATTTTGATGTGGCAACCCAATTTTTGATATTTAACTTTTATTGTCTAGATGCAGCTACATGCCAAAAAATAAAGTTGACATGTTGCCTATTTTTCAGGTTATTCAGCTGAGGACATT